ACAGCCTACTGAACAGCTAAAGCGTTCAATTAATCGTCGTATAATGTACTTATGTACATATAAATTTACTAGCATATATAAAGGGGATGTGTGGAACTGTGGCCATTTTTCAAAAAAACGGTGCCACGTCGAATCTACATAGGCGTTTCAACAAACGCTCATGTATCTCATTGTTTGGTTCAGCCGATTATTAAAAAATCAGGTATGCCTCGAAAATCGAGACCCCACTAATGCATGAAACACCATCGATGAACTGTTTCATGCATCGGTGAACCGTTACCCCCAACAGTTGACTGATGTGTTTTTTATTTGGTACTTCAGCACATACATGAAAAACGATGATGAAAATCACCTTACCAAATAGCATAGTATTGCTCACTGCCTACATGGCTGAAGCATTTTTTTGTGAAAAAACATGTCTTAAAAGTATGAACGTTTTTTTCTTGAAAATCAGTCCAAAAAAGTGTCTATGCTTCCAAACACCATAAAAGGTGTAAATCACAATTACAAACAAATGTAAACTAGTGCAAACTTGGTATTTGGTTTGGATTTGCACCCGAAACAAACGAAGCCTAACTTTTGATTAAAATGTAAATAAAGAATGAATGATTTAGGAATGATCATTGTTAATTAGTAGATGGTTTAGATTTAGTGATTCAAGTAGACAGTTCCCCTAGTGAAATAACCAAAATCATTAAAAACTTGGGACCTAATCGGTTGGTTTGCCCACTGGGTTGAAAACACTGGTCAGTAGTAGAGGTAGAGCTTAATTAAATGGATGGTCATGACACTATCCCAAACTCGTATGCATTAATTTTCTTTTCAGCTTTTTGGATGTATTGAGGCCAGTGGGTTCCTATATCCATACCCCCAAGGACACTACAGGTGCATTGGGAATATCTCCCTTTCATTCTTCATGGGAAGATGTTTTTTCATACACACCAGTTGTGTCTTGTGGGAGTTTGAACCTACCCCCCACACCCCCCACACCCCACACACCTGTCCTGTGAGAGATCAAGTCGTTTCAGGCTTGAAGCATTGGAGAGAGATGCGGAGATTGATCCTTGTAGCAAGTTACTACCCACAAACAAGGTATCTAGATTGGGAAAAGTAGAGAACAAATTGGATGCAAAATGACCTGAAAACCTGTTCTTGGCCAAACTCATGATTATTAAAAAAGAAAGGTTGTATAGAGAGGTGGGAATCTCACCTAAGAGATTGTTATTAGCTAAGCTTAATTGTAACAAGAAATGGAGCTGACCTAATTCATTTGGAATGAATCCCTGTAGATTGTTTGAGAGAAAGATGAGGTTGTTAAGAGAGGAAAGGTTTCCAAAGGAAGAAGGGATTGAACCCGTAAGGTTATTCTTTGCAAAAGTCAAATCTTGAAGGTTGGATAGCATACCTAATTCTGGTGGGATTGACCCGTGAAACTGATTATCAGACAAATCAAGAAGCCGAAGCTTAGAACAGAGGCTAAGCGAGGAGGGTATGGTTCCATGGATGACATAGGAAGCTAGAATGAGCGTCTCTAGCCAAAAGAGCTTGCCCAAGTCTGTTTGAAGGTAACTGCTGAAGCTATTGTTCTGCAAGTCGATTAGGCGGAGGAAAGAGAGATTGGTGATTGTTCCGGCAAGAGTGAGATTCCCACCCTTATAAGTTGTAACTAGCCAATCCGGGTTCCTGAGGGCGAGACCAGTAACTCGTTTCGGATTCAACATCATCTTCATCATCATCATCTAATGTCCTTGAATCACTCTGGAGAATCAAATGTCCATTTCCTAGGTTAAATATGTTTTAAGAGAAAAAGGGCAAGAAAAAGAAAGTAGAAAAAGTTTAGTTGAGTATTTTGGTAATTTAATGCTTTCATCTGAATTAACAGGCAAAGGGGTCTTTGTCTAATGACTAAATCTCAGGGGGGTCTTTGTCGCAAAAAAAAAAAAGTACAGGGGGGACTTTGTCACTGACCCATAGTACAAGGGGGGTCTTTGTAATTTACCCAAAGTACAAGAGGAAGAAAAGCACCCACTATTCCACCTTCAAATACAATATGCCTAGTATAGAAGTTGATGGAGATACTTTCCTATTGCGGATGGATTGCTTGTTTCTTGTTGCTCCTTCAATCATTCCTGATCTTCCAAAGACAATAAATATGCTCCGTCCTCAAGCTTGGATCAATTATACATCTAGTACACGAAACTTGAGTGTCTTTACAACATATTCTTACAACTTGAAGATATAGGGGTACTGCATAACCTTTCTCATTGAACAAGAAATTTATGTTCTTTTTTCACATTTATATGGAGATAGAAAGTTTATTTTCTTAGGTGTGACACCTAATAACTTTTTCATCCGAGAAAAATCACTAACATTTAAACAAGACAAAAATGACTTTTAATAATGAATTTTTATGGTTAAAATGGTCATTGCCCTATTTACCTGAGAAATAAAAGAATTAACTCGAGTAAGTTTTTTCTAATAAAACACGTACCTATCCAGTCCAATAAATGCATTTACCTGGATAAATAACTTACAAAAAATGAACAAGGCCTAAATCCCATGTCAACCTCAACAGTCTTGGTGCCCAGTCCGGAGTCCAGTCCAAAGCATGGAAATTAAGACCCATCTGGAAGGAAGAAAATTGGCTTGGTTCTTGGGTTTGTTCTCGGTGCAAGTGTCTTCATAGGTGGTTTGAGTGTGATTATTTGGTTCATCCCGAAGAAAAGGAGGTACAGAAATGAAGACGACAACGATGATTTACCCTTGGACATCTCCATCGATGATGATTTTGAGTGGGGAACAGGACCCAAGAGGTTCTTCCCTTCTACGTTTTTTCTATTACATAAAAAAGAAAAAAAAGTACGTACCTCCAATGCAACTACCGGAACAATCATCGACGTAGGTTCGACAAGATCGGATGGGAGAGGAGGTGAGGCAGTCTGAATTTCAAAAGGCGGGTCGAGAAGAGTGAGAGACTGAGTATGAACGGGAAAGAGGGAAACTCGGTTTTGGGTGAAATGGGTTCCATGAGCTCCGCACGAGACTGAGGGCACATGCACGTGGGAGGACATGCAACCACTTCTTGTCTTCTAACGGTGTGGAACGTTTTTGGGGCGCGACGCGCAAGCCGGTGGAAGGCAGATTCGACCTCGTCTTGTGGTTAAGATGATTAAGATTCCGAGTGGGTTTAAGAAAGTTGAAAGTTTTCAGATTTCATCATGGTTTTGAAAACCAGATTATTAGATTGGATGGTCAGACTGGTTGACTTGGAAACCAGTCATAGGCCTGGGTCTGGTTTTGGACCCAAAACTATCCAACCCGGGTTTGGATCGAACGGCCGGTGGTCAAAAAGGTTCTATTTCTGGTCCGGTTTTCAAAGTCATGGATTTCACTGTTGGGGTTTGTTTTGGAAGTGTAACAGAATAACTGCACATTTTAATCTTTCAGATCTTATTTTACGTTTTTACATTTTTTAATAAATAGGATATTTACTCTTCCAGAAGATTGAAATCAGAATGAAGTTTAATTCCATGTTCATGTTCATACTTAAAACTTTTTCTAAAACCTCAACCTGTCTTTATATCTTTTCATGAGATCATTTTATAGAAAATTAATAAAATGCAACAAAAATGAAAAATAAAGAAATAATAAAAAATGCAACAAAAATAAGAACAAGAGAAAATAAAACAAAAATACAATAAACCAAAAAATTGCAGGAAGTATAAGTATAACAAAGAAAAGGAGGAAAATACAAAAACACTGAAAATTGCAAAAGACAAACAAAAAAAAAAGTGAAATTGAGAAAATAGAACAAAAGATTGCGAAAGAAAAAGAAAAAGAGAATACAGAAGAAAACAAACCTGGAATGGACATTTTCTACCTTCCAAGTCCAAACAACAGAAAAATAGTTGATATCATGTTTCAGCTGATTTTGGAGACACCAAAGCCGGTGGTTGATCCTGATTATTCTTCGCATTAAGGACCAAGTGGCAAGTAATTGATTAGTAGGGTCATAAAATCACTCTTCAAATTAGTATTACAATTTACCAACAGAGAAAAAGTCAAATAAACAATTATAACTTGGGAAAGGTGCAGTGAAGCAGTGTGAACAGAGCCAACGCATGGAACGAACATAATGTCCTACTACTACTACTACTGGTCCTCCTCTTTTATTAGATCACAACTGCACAAGTCAATCCAAACCAAGCAAGCAAAACGGGCCGACGCTTGATGTTGATTGATTGTGGACCTCTTCTTCTCAATCTCAGCCTCTCAGGGGAACAAAACCAAAAGTCCTTCCAACCCCAAAACCAAAATGATGAGAAAGAAAAAAAAAAAGGCTCCTCACGTCTGTCTTTCTCCCGAGACACATGGTCCACAACCAGCAATTAATGAAGGGGAGGGATCCAATAGACATTAGACATTTATACAGACGCTCAAATTCACAAGACATTTACAGCTGTCAAGGTTCCATACCATGGCCTCACCTTTGTCCATGAAGGAGGAGGAGAGGCAGAGTATGCTGGCTCTCAGGAACCCATGTGAGAAGAGCAAGATGAGGGGGTCCATATCTCATAAAATCCAGCTATACTGAATCAGAAAAACCAAAGTGCTCTATCTACTAGTCACTACTTGATCCAGAAGCGAATTTCTGCTAACTTGCTTTCAGGTCAAATGTCATGGAATGTAAAATTAATGGTCTCTTTCATCCTTGACTGTCAGAAACAGAAAATAACTTTTGATCTTTTTCTACATGTACTTGTGTCAGTGATCTCATAAAATACCCAGAACACTCTCAAGAAAAATCAATAATAATATAATCTATCCGTGATTCAAATCCAATAATGCAATTGTACATTAAGCGTTTTTTCATCAATGAAGTACACTAACCTCTTTATACAAAACAGGACAGGACCCCCCTTTTTCCTAATTGATAAATAAATCAGGTCAGAGACTCAGAGTCGTTTCTGGCAGGTTAACTGTGGAGATTCACAAACAAGGATAAACAATGAAGATTCAGTGACCTTTCATGAATAGCAAGAGCACACAGTGAAACCCCAATATACACATTACAAAATACACGTACATCATGCTACAAGGCTTCAAAAAACAAGCTAACGCAATTGAAAGCCAGCATATAGGGCTTTGGCTAAACATGTTACAAAAAGCTACAAACTGTATAAAATAAAACTAATGAAACTCAGTTATATAAGCATGGCTCAGCTCTGTATCGAGAGAAGCATGCAAGATGTGTGCCAATTTGTCTTCTACTCCATGCCTGATATTCATCTCTTTCTTTCTTGGTATTCTTGTTTTCTCCACCTTGCCCTGTTGGCCTGGTTACCACTTTCATACCCACTACTATCTCCTGATACCGTCACCTGCTTTTCTATCAATTTCTCCTTCATACTATCATGATGTGCCCGTCCTGCATCCCGCCCACCACGACGATCCTGCAATGAATTGTTTACATGTTTTATGAGTAGATAAGTTAGAAACAGAACACAGATTGCAAAAATTATCAGGCCAACATCTTGCTGCTTTTAATTTCATGTGCAGGTGCAGGCATGCCTGCTTAGTTCAAGTTCTATACTTACAAGGTTATCTGTTTAATGCATAGCTTGACCACCAATGAGAAAGGAAATGACTACAAATTAATAAATGAAATAGAATTTGGAAAAAAAAAAAGGGAAACGGGAGATGCAAACATACATCTCGGAAGGGAAAATCATCAACTTCGAGCATATGTATCACATGCCCCATCTTTGGCCTTTTCTGTGCATCTGGGTCTACACATCGTAAAGCCACTAAGAGAGCTCGCTTCAATTCCTTCGAAGATGGTTTCTCGGGTATTTTAGGATCCAAAACTCCCTCAGAATTCCTGCTAGCAACCATCATTTTGAGCCATTCGACCAAGTTCACCTGGAAATCCCTCACTTGGAGTTAAAAGAAAATAACCAAACAGAAAAAGAAAGGAAAACACCTGTTGCAATTGCTTTTAAGCCAATGATCTTGGTAATGTATCACTAACCTCTCCTGGAGGCCGGCTGTAATCAACAGGATTCCTCCCAGTAATGACCTCCATTAAAAGTATCCCAAAACTATAGACATCACTTCTCTCATTCAACATGCCTGTACTAGCATACTCAGGAGCTACATACCTACATATAACAGATTCAGGAGGTTACCATCTCCCATGCCTCATCCACACTAATGGAGGTCAAAATACTTACACATAGGAAAATATAGAAAAGGTAATTATCATTCAAAGAGAAATTGAACTGACCCAAATGTTCCCATCACACGGGTTGTGACGTAGCTTCTCTCTGAACCCAGAAGCTTAGCAAGCCCAAAATCAGAAACCTTGGGGTTCCATTGTCTATCAAGCAAAATGTTGCTTGATTTAATATCTCGATGAACAACTTTGGGTTCGAGTCCCTCGTGAAGGTATGTCAACCTAAAATTAGAAGTTCAAGTCATTGCTAAGAACTCAACAAGATGAAGAGGAAAAAGAAAAAGGCGAAAAAAATGACTTCTGAGTTTCTTAGAATTATACCCTTTGGCTGTCCCAAGAATAGTATTCATACGAAGTTCCCATGTAAGAGGACTGCAAGGACCTACGTCTCCATGGAGCCACTGTTCTAAGTTCCCATTGTCCACATACTCATAAACAAGCATCCTAAAGGAAACACCACAACAGGAAGGTAAGGCAACTTTCTCACTTCTGCTGCATTTAGAGGCATCTAAGAAGAAATAACCACCATCATTATTTTCTCTGTAATACCAGAACTTAGAAATGATGCTAAAGGAAAACAAGTATAATATATTAATATGGAAAGAAATGAATGGGGCAATTTACAGAGAGATGAGTACCTATGAGCACCTTCAGCGCAGTAACCAAGTAACCTTACTAAATTTTTGTGCCGAACACGACCAATTGCTTCAACTTCAACCTTGAACTCCTTCTCAGCTTGTCCCCTATTGAAAAACAAATACGAAATTAACCCATTGTGTCACTTCATGCTCATAATGTTCAGCGAAAGGCCTCTGCCCGAAATTGAAATATATCTCAAATTTTTGTTTTTACAAAAGAATATAACTCCATAAGGCGCTTCCTGAAAGCAAATATAGACTAAAAAAGGGATAGATAGATAATTAAGTAACAAAAGACACCTGTTATTGAGCAAATTCTTAACAGCAACCTGGGTCTTGTCCTCCAAGACTCCATGGTAAACAATGCCATACCCGCCTTCACCGATTACATTCTCATCTGCAAAACCATTCGTTGAGGCCTCAAGCTCCCTGAGGGTATACCAGTGGCCCCAACCCAAATGCGAAACCTCAGGGACGACGACCGGAAGCTGATCAACGGAGCGAGTCTCCCCACTCCCATGCGAAGAACCACCACCACGTTCCGGGTAGGAAATCCTATGATCCTTACCGATCTCAATGTGAATTCTGTGAAGCCCCATTGGGCCTTCTTCCTCCTTTGGGAAAAGCAAGGCTTGGCGCTCAATTAAGCCATTTTGTTCCGCTTCGGGTAATGGGTTAGGAAGAACTTGGTGAGTCTTAGCATCTTGTTGATGGTGGATTGCGTGCCTGGCATGATCGATTTTGATTTCTTGAATTTCTTTGGAGACACTCGGAATTGTGGGTTTCTGGGAGGGCTTGTACTTGGTGGTGTTGTTCCGTTTTGAAGTGAACCAGAGGGAGATAAGAAAGAGAAGTAGAACAAAGGCAGCTCCGACACAGATACCCAGAACGACCCACAAGCGGAGACCAAAGATTGAGGTCCGTTTCGAGAGCTCATCGTTCAGAAACGCAGCTCTGTAATCAGACATTCTCCTCTTCTCTCAATTACTCCAGTACTTCTCTTAGTGAAGAAATTCAAGATCTTGTTGCAGATGTAAGGACGGAAAGATAAATAAATAAATAAATAGGAGAAGGAAATAGAGGAAGAAGACGAGGAAACAAGGAAAGAGTGGTAAATGGTACGGCAGGGGAGAGAAGCAAAGCAAAAGTGACGGGGTTAGAGAGAAGAAAAGGAAGTGAGAGAGGTGAGTCAGGAACACAGTAGCAGCTGTCATGATGGGACTCTTGGAATAAGAGGATGGTATCCGGTATCCCCACCAGTCTGTTGTTGTTGCTTCTGTACTTTTCTTTTTAATATTTTATTGTTATCGACGCATTCATGATTAGTGAGGGTGTTCGGTTAGATTTGGATTTTGATTCTGTTAGTTGGTTTTGTTTGCTTATTTCCTGTTTACCTAAACAAAGCTTATTTATAGGGACAAACTACGAAGGGATAGAATTTTATAATGACAAAAAAACATTTATTTATGTGGTTAAACTAAAAACTTGATTTGCTTACTGTAGTTTAATAGGAAAAGAAAGATATCATGATGAATGCATTACTTTGGAACAGTGATCTAGGTAGTGCATGGGTTTAGTGTCTTAATTAATATTTATTTATGCTTGAGGAGGATCTTCCCAATTTGTAAGAATTGTATTTCATTTACCCTAACAAGTGCTGTGTAGGAGATAGCTTTTTTCATTTTTATTTTCTTGTCAGGATATCAGATGAATTCCTTCCCCCCCCCCCTTTTTTTTTTCTTTTGACCAGTTATTGTAAATGGGAATTTGATGTATTTCACTTTTCTTTTTTATGTAGATTAATCAAGGTTCAAAGTATTGATATAATACGTGTTTCAGTTGTATCGTATTGATACTTAGAAACGGCCGAAACTTAGAAACATCCCGTAACGAACATATCGTATTGATACTTTGAACCATGAGATTGGCACGTGCAAATGCATGTATTTTCTACAAATGTAGGTGCAAGAGGAGAGGAAGGGAGAGAAAGATGAGCAGATTACCAAGAGAGAAAAAATGGATTAGAATAAAGATAATAAAAATGTATTTGGCTCTGGAAGTCTGGAGGTGAAGTTAAGGCAAGTATCAGTGTTATATTTATTATAGTAAACATAATAAAAATGTGTTTCAATTAAGCTGTGTTTGGTTTGAAGGAAAAAATAGGAAAAGAAAATGAAAGGTAAAAAAACCCCTACAAAATACAAACTCTATATGGGTTTTCCTACCTTTTCTTTTCCCACCTTTTCCTTCAAACCAAACATAACCTTAAGGTCGACAAAACCCTAAAGTGGACCAACGGTCTATTGATATAGATTCGGCTTCATGAAACAAACCCACTAATCCAGGTCCAGACCTTACTTTTTGATTCAAGGGAAGTGTTTATTTGACTACAGGGGAAAAAAGAACGCAATTGGGAACCTGTGGTGGGCCCAAGTTTAATTTGTAGGCCCCACAAACACCACTCTTTTCTTTTTCTTATGTAAATACTTAATGCTTTACGCAATATAATAAGGCCAACGTACCTGGTAGAAAACTAGAAACGCTTGGGGTCTTCTCAATGGCTTTAGTAGAAATGTCAACCGTCTCTACTGATTCGAAGGCTGTGTTTGTCGCCTGCTGCTGCAGATCGAGAAGATCGAAATCCCCATTTTTTTTAATTTTTTTGTGGGTCCAATCCAATTACAATGCACAATGCAGCAAAGTTACAGACGTTCGTACCCAGTACCAGAAACTGAGAAAAGAGATTGACGATGTGAAAGGATCACATTTACGTCCACTATCGTTGGATGAATGACATCTAACGGAGAAAAGCTTACGTCTATATCGTAACATAATTGCATAGAAAAGGATTGAATCCTCGACGGCAGTTTTCTCTTCGTTTTTATTGAAGGCGCAGTTTTCTCTTTCTTTGGTTGCTGTGCTTCACGAATTTCAAAATAAAAAAACGGAAAGTACGTACAGATCCAATGCAGATTTCTGATTTCGAATGTACAATTATAAACATTCAAAATCTCAACAACCGGGCCTACAAAATCTCAAAATCATTTAAAAATTCTCCTGATACCCTGTATATTGGGCCTAATGCCACTTTGATTCTCAAACTTTAAAATATAATAATTCAGTGCCTAAACTTTCAAAACATGATAATCCAATGCGTACCATTAATCAGATATTAATCTACCATTAAATGACATTTGAAAAAGACAAATGCTCTTCACTGCCATTTTTTTGCTTCAGTCCCTTCAAGTGTTATTTAATTAACATTTGAAAAAGACATAAATGCCCTTAAAGTGTCATTTTTTTCACTTCAATCCCTTCAAATGTCATTTAATTTTCTTTATCAACCATCATCTAAATGGTGACAAAAAATTAACAGTCCCAAATCCTTGCCTATTCCATTCAAGAAAGTTTGAGTCAGGTTTGTGTGGGCATTCCAACATGACCCCAATTTTCTTGAATGAATCAGGCAAGGATTTGGGACTGTTAATTTTTTGTCAATATTTGAATAGTTGATAAAGAAAATTAGATAACATTCAAAGGACATGTCTTTTTTAAATGCCACTTAACAGCTGATTAACTAGTTAACAACTGGTACTGGATTGCCATATTTTGAAAGTTCGGATACTGAATTGCCACATTTTAAAATTCAGAGACCAAAGTGGCACTTGGCCCAAAGTACAGGGTACTTACTAATCAGGAATTTTCCTATTTTAAATACAATGATCAAAATAATCCAAACTATCAACCCAATCCCCCTACATACAAAAACTTGAGGAAAATTTTTAAACCTCCCCTGGATTATTTGAATCAAGCTCATTTTTTGGTGTTCCGAATGTTTCTGACAAAATAGATAACAAATTTCACAGAATATCACTGAAATTTACAACCATGGCCATTACATGTCCTCAAGTTACGACCTTTTAGTACTATGATTTTGAGAACCATGTTTCCAGTCCCAACATCTTCATAAGTCAAATTAGTAAACATGAAGATGGTAAAATTCAATGCAAAATTTGAGTACAGTGTTGGAAAAACTCAAAACGGACAGTTCATTGAATATTTTTTATTAGACAAAAGCAATATGTAATCCCTCACCACGTTGAAGCTAGATATTGTATGATTTCCAACTTAAAAGGTCCCAACCCTATGAGGAAGCTCCTTCGCACAATTGAAATCATTGCTTCCCCTTACAATCAGCATTAGGTGATGGTTACCATTAAGTGCTTCTTATCCACATCATCACTGCAACTCCCCAACGGGTGCCTCATTGAGCCATAAGAAGTGAATAAAGTCATACAACTTAGCACTTACACTCACCTGTTTACAGCAATAAAGTAAATATTAGTTTTAACTTTAAAGTGCAAAAAAAATAATTTAATAGATAAGGCATACTCAGAAGGTGCCAGTTAGCTCAGTTGGCAAAGTCTTTGGCTGGTTGTAGCTCAGGGGCGGACTCCACCCCCCCCAGGTTGTATTTGTATAGCCCCATGAAGCCAAAAAAAAAACGACAAAGCATATTAAAGAGATATCTGCAGAACCTTGTAAGGTGTTGGGTTCAATCTCCTCATGTGATCAGGCCGCATTTGATCCAACTGTCTGATGCAACGATCTCTAATCTCCTTAAGAGGTGGTAATTCTACTCTTGCTTTATCTTCAAGCAGAAAAATCCAAGTTTAACATTTGTAAGCAAAATGAGGAGATGGCACCCATTGGTTTCACCATGGATGTGTTTGGAATTTTTCACTAACAGAAAAGAATGGTGGATAAAAATGCAGGAACAAAGTTTGCCATTCTCAAGATCACAAGATTTGAGAAAACTGTGAAAAGTTTGAAATCCAGCACAACAGTAACCACCAAATGATCAAAATCTTGTACAGTTTGGTTAGAAAAATGAGCTTGTTGCAGAGAGTTAAGTTTGAACTGCCTATATTTTTCTCTGTTTCACCAAAGGACTGCAGTTTTTTTTTTTTTTTTTAATGAGAACTTATCCTGTTGATGTGGATAATCATTGTAAGTGGTCGTTTGTTGAGAACTTATCATATTCAGAACATAGACAAGCTAGGAGCACCTAATGTTAACAGTAGCAGCTTCCAATTATATACTGGTTATAATTAACCATACAGAAAAGGTTATACCTGAATCTCCAGGCCAATAACACTTCAGTAGCTCCTCCACATGCTGTGGCACCACATATGCCCTCTTGGATTCATTGAAAGGGTGTCGGCATAAGATCCGTTCTGCTACCTATATGTTGAAAATAGAATATAATACAATCTTGCTTATGCTATAACATATATACTTCACATTGCATACTATTTTTCTTAATAAAAATATGCAGACATGTAATAGCTTATGAGGAAAGTGTAGTACTTTGTAATTGGTAATATAATTGCTTGAACAACTTCGAAGGCAAAACCGGTTCTTAGCTTGTAATTGCTTGAATAATTGGTTATCTTGTAAATATAAAGAATTAGCTGTCTTGGCTTCTCGCTTTACCAAGATAGTGACAACTTTTATATATTTTGAAGTCATCTAGCCATTAGGCCATGGACACCCAGATTCTTATCTTCAGCAACAAGAATCTTTTACTAAATCGTAGGTACATACCATTATTGACCCCTTCACATTCCTTTTCAACTGCAAGATTCAAACCACTTCATGGGCAAAGCATTCATAGCAATTTCCAATAACCACTTCCTCATCAGTTGTCATTTGCAAGAGATCAGGATAAGAGTCCAAGGTCTATTTTCATATGAATGTTGCAAGGAAATGGATATGGAATGATGGAAATAGGAAACTAGTGCATGTCAAGGAGTCTGACTTGGTAAGACAAGAAAAAAAAAACATGGATTTGCAGATACCATTAAAGGCCATTATGCAATGTTGGTACCATCCATCTGGGATCCTGGGAGGTAAGGGTGCCAATGGACTGGTTTTGGATTGGACCCCGTCCAAACCAAAATCATTTTGGACGGATTGGACGGACCAACAAGACATTGAATTGGACCAGTCTGGTCCATCCATAATTAATTTATATTGGATTAGATTAAGCCAATATCTGGTCCATTGATATAAGATAAGAATATAGGTACCAATGGACCGGGTTTGGGATGAAACCAATCTAAATTAAAACGAATTTGAACAGATTGGACGGTCCAGACATTGAATTGGACCAGTCCAAAATTGTCCAAATTATTCTTTGGATTGGATTGGACCTGGTCCATTTATAATGGACTCACATTGGACTGGATCGGATTGGACCAAATCCAGTCCAATTGACACCCCTACTGGGAGGATGGAGTGGATAAAGACCAGACCTCCCATATTTTTAGCATGAAGTGGCCTCTCTCAGACATGCTTATAGGAAAATAAATACTATAAAAGTTTATCATTGTTATGGCCATTCTATTGGAAAATGACATTTATCATGTACACTTCAACCATTAGGATTTCCCATGCAACACAAATGTCCTAAAAAACAAAGTGACCCGCCACGTTTTTTGATGAATGATAATAAATTGACACCCCTTTAACCAATGTTTTAAAAGGAAGATCTCATCTTGTTTTACCCTTTTCTTTTTAATGAAAGATGTCTTTATTAAGAATAATGAAAATGCATAACACTAGCTGAAAGAGGGTCTTTTTTAATAAAATAATTATTATTCTCCCTTTTTAAATTTTAATATTTTAATAATTTTTTATTTAATTATTCTTATTTTTATTTTTTATTCTTTTCTATTTTATTGATGTCAATTATTCATTAATTAATTCAAATTATAATATTAGCGGTAACAATGTCCATAAGTATACGTACCACATAAAGTACCAAACAAATTCATTCTAAGGGGTAAAATTGTAACATATACATTTCACAAAAAGTAAAAACATTCAGATCACCAAATAACTCCACTGCATTTAGAGATCATCAAAGCAGAAAAACAAAATTTTCAAGGTTTGATACCCCCTGAGCTTTTCTAGAGGATTTTTTGCTTTCTAGAGATCAAAGCTTAGATTTACTGAACCTATATTTTTTTATGAAGTTTATAGATAATCATCAATGAAAGATGGTTGCTGATTTCTATGGAACCTTGGGAATTACCCTAGGATTCACGGTTTCCATGTAAAAAATTTCATCGCCTAGGCAACTAGACAGTAAGGTGCCCCCCTATGGCCTTGTTGCCTAACTTCACCTTGGTGCCTTGACAACTGTGCCCAATCTACATAGCCCACAAATCACGAATGTGAAACTAAATGAATACAACTTTAGAGAGTGGTCAATTTCAGCCAAGTACATTACAGACCTAGGTCTTTTAGGGTATATAAATGAAAAAATCAAAGAACCTAAGGAAGAGATGAGTACAAGACATGATGTAGAGAAAATGCCATCGTTATTACCTGCCTGCTGTCCTTACTGAATCCTAAAATGGCCAGGACTATTCAACACTTTCCTACAGCATTCAGAATTTGAGAAAAGATCTCTAAGATACGTGAACAACAGAAGAATAATGCATGGGCGTAAAGACTAACACAAGACTTAGCTGCCTTTGAAGTTTGAAGCAAGGAGACACATCAATTGCCACATATTTTTGTCACTCTAGAGGGGACAAGTATAGGAAGAGCTGGCTTTCAAGTTCCTAGCAAGGCTTGGGAAGAGATTAGCTCCCAGACTTGCAACATGTCTATTACATTGTGAAGAATGAAGATATGAGGAAGGAAATGCAGATTGGCGCCCCTATTCATCCTGTAAAGTATCAGCACTTGCTTCCACAGTGTAGTTGCAAGACTAGTTCAGAGCATGGAATCACACCAATATGTTCAAGAAAAAGAAAAAGGAGGGCCTCCTAAATATGGAATTCCAGTTAGACTGTTACATGAATAAATGACTTGTAAAAATCTAGAAATAGAGAACTGAAAGAGAAAAGGACTGGAAATTTAGAATGGAACCAATGTGTTCTCTACAGTCAGACCAGATTCCATAAAAGGATCAAAACAAAGAGGAACTGGGCTGAGGTCTGCTAAAGCTAAACTCTAGAGAAACTTAATCTACATGCGTGCTGCACCCTAGATGCTATTCATGTAAAGGAAATTTTATACTCTTTCAGGTAATAAGCTCTTGATGGAAGTTCAGCAATAAAATATCTGATCCACAGGAAAATTGAACAAAAAGATTAGTTTTGTAGCATTAAACCATCCCCTTTAGTGCACTCTTGAAGAATTAATAAACAAAACTCTTAATTGGGAAATATGTACAACAAACTGAACTTTGAATCTATATTGTTGGAAATATGTGCATTATCCTTGAAAGTATTTTCTATTCTGTAACTTCAATGCCTTGATTTATTCAAGATTGCCCTCATTTGAAAATAATGTGCTTATGTGTGTTAAGAAAAAAAATACAAATGATTCAATCACAAAACCATATATAGTTCTGCTTGTTCAGACTGTAGACTACAAAACCTATTATCAGACAGGGAATATGAATGACAAAGTGAGAAATCTTTCCTTTTGAAGAAACTAAGGCAATAGAAGAAGATTAAGCATAATAATGATAAGTTGATGACATACCTTTGGAGGTGGTTCATTTTCTCCAGTCATAATGTCTAACAGTGGATAACCTTCTCTCCCATATAATCTATAACATCTTTTTTTGCATGGTATTGAGACCTAGGGCCAGAAAACAAATGAAACTCTTCAAAGGAGATGGAGAATGCTATTGGGAGTTGTTGGCAGAATGCTCAAACCTTAGAAACATCTTCTGACAATTTAATGCGAGGCTGATTATTTATCTCAACCAGCTTGAAAACACAACCAAGAGCTGCTTGGGCATAGCATGTCACAAGGTTGGTACCAATTCCAAATGCATCAACTTCATGTCCCTGTGAAGAGAAAATGTAATCCAATATGTGAATGTTAAAATGAAATATGTTGCTTATTGTTATCATAATCATGACGTTCTCTCTTCCTTCAGATTATTGGACAAAGGTATTGGAAAAAAGTGAAATGAAAAGTGCATTTGAGTGTTATATGATTAGAGAATACCAGTCAGATTAAAAGGAATTTTTTATAAAGTAGCTATAAGATGGACAATATTGTATGGAACAATGTTCAGTAGCAAAAAAAAAAAAATAATGTCTAGATGTTTAAGAAGTGATCTTATGCAAGTTAAGGGTCTAGAAGAGTTAGGAAGAGGCTAAGAACATAGGTTAAGGTAGTGAGAAATTATTTGAGGGCTTACAATTCATGATGGATATAGTCCTAGATAAAGAGGAATGACAAAGCAGGATTAGTTTACCAACACCATGTAGTTGGGATAAGGCTTTGTTGAGTTGCATTGACCATTCTATTACTCCGGCATGGAGAAAAAAAATATGGGTAGTTCATATCATCCATCAGGTAGATGATTCTCTTGTTTGGTCATTTGTTACTGCCTTGGTCCACATTGGCCAATTACTTACCTTGTATTGGAGCTTTACCTAAATAAGATTAGCCATGCAAAAAATAGTAGCATCATTTAGAAAAAGTACAGGGCCTACAGGCATACTAAGCAGAGATGGCAACAACTGAGTTAGGTACAAGAGAGTTCCATTTCTAGCCTCCGATTTCTCTCTATGCTGTAAACGTGGAAGGAAAGAAAAGAAATCTCTTCCTTATTAAAAATATAGGTTAAAGTCAATGACTAAAATGCCCCATGTTGATAACTTGTTCCATAAAGCATATAAGCATCAAGACCATTGGAAATCAAATCTTCCTAACCCAATTAGGCAATACCAAACACATCCTAATACAGGCAGGGTGGGGACAGTTTCCAGCTATGATTAAGTGGTAAAGCTGCATTGACCTGACCCTATTGGGTTGGGGTCAGGTCAGCCTTGATCGGCTCACAGGTTCAGGTTGAGGCTGACCCATATCAAACCCAACTTATTGACATTGTAGCATTGAAACATTTGTAAATATGGCTTTGTTGACTATAGGTATACAATGTACTACGCATATGGCAGGGCAGGGTTGATTTGGCGTCCTGTTTTGTTTGGTCATGATGGGTCAGGTTAAAGTAGCTTTGGGTTGGGTTCATGTTGAGAAAAACCTATGCCGAACCCAACCTGTTGGCATTCCTATCCATCCCTTATATTAAGTATTTTTATAGAATAAACCCATGGTAGGGGACATTGCTTGCTGCAGTTGTATAGATCTTGGGCTGTCAAACATGAGAATGCAGATTATAGCCTAAAAGCGGTCACTTTGTGCAAAAGTGCCAAATGTTAGGTCCATATCCAGCTCACCTCCCAAGACACTGGATAACCAGGTATGGCCCTTTAAATCCAGGGTCTACAAGCAGGATAATTGACCCATCAAAAAATCACTATGCTGGAATTTGTTCTTGGACTTGATACAACCAAGACAAAATGTTCCAACTAAATACATCATAACGGGTAGATTGTGAATTTCACTAGTCCCATCAATTTACAAAAGGGAAGAACCAAAAGTATGATTTCAAACATGTCCCTATAGTCATACTGTTGACCAGAGTGTATTCCATCAACACTACATATAGATGGTACAGAGTGAATGGGATTTGTGCATGAGTGGGATAATAGTTACGAATGAATTATTACAAATATGTTACGATCTAAGCATAAGAGATGGTGATGTAGAACAGGGTCTTATAAATTTCAGACCTGGTGATAGTGGGCTTTGTGGGGTGAAGGAGGGGCTTTAGGTGCTTAATGATGAAGAATAGGGATAGAGAAGCAAGTAGATAGCTTGCTGTCCACCAAATGAGCAAGAGATTAGAGAGAAAGAGAAAAGCTCTTGCTGTTATGGTAAAAAGCAATGGGATAGGTCACTTAGAAGAAGAAACAAGTGAGAAAAATGTCCTTCTACAAACTCCAATTTGGACTAGTAAACTGACTCAAAAGTAACTTCTAATTGCTTAAGAACTAAAACAAACCTATAAATAACCAATAGGGACACTTAAGTAAAGACTCTAGATCCTAAATCAACACTAATAACACTTTCCTAATCCTACTAAAACTTTAGTACAGAAAGAATAGAACTATTAAAAATAGTAAATCACAAGTTTACTATAAATAGTAATTAAGAGAATTACTATAAATAGTGAGTCCAAAAGTATCATAAATAGTAATTTTGATTTACTGAAATCAATAAATATCTAAAAGACTTAAACCCTTATTTTTAAGGAATATAACACCCAAAATTTTTGAAATTGCTTTAGTAATAGGAAAACTGATTTATCTCTCCATGGATTCTTTCCTTGCTTCCTTTTCTGTGTCACATGGATAAATATATTGGGAAGAGAATAAAGATGCCCATGGAGAGGGAAGAGGGAAATAGTGCAGAGATAATTTTTAATTAACCTGAGTAAAAAAAATTACACAATGTTGGTCCCAGTTATCTAGGATCTTGGGAGGAGTGGACTAGATACAAACCTAATTTTTTGCAACTAACCTGAGTAATCTAATTGATAATCTCTCACTTGTAATGAAGTCATTAGCTAGAGAAAAGAGACAATGGAGAATATAAAAGAAAGAAGCTCAGGCCTTTTAATTAACCAAAATGTAGGGAAAATAAGGGTAAAAGTGCATAGTTTTCCAAGATAAAATCCTAGACACAGATATAGGTATGGGTATCCCATGTAATATGCTTATAGTATGTGTTTATATTTCGTTTTCCAAACTAAATTTCATCCTCAAGACTAAAATCTTGCCTGAAGTATCATTATCATTATATAGGAAAAGGTGAACAATTTATATGTACCATAATTTTTCCAATATGAAAAAATACTACAACCATACAAGCACTTTTTGGTGTGTGGAAATATTGAAAAGCCTAAAATGATAAGTCAATGGACTAGTTATGATGCCCAGATGTGGACATGAAGACTGGCACAAATACAGGAAATGCAGATACAAGTCTCCATTTCCTAAAATCCTGGACATGGATATGGGTATGGATATCCCCGTTTAATATATTTGTATCATGCATTTATATCTAGTTTTTGTAGCTAAATATTTTGTCTTCACCAATTTAATTAAATTTTTATCATGTAAAGATTATTTTTATAGTATAATTTGTTAAAATATGCTTATATCATACACGCTAGCCATGTACTCTATCCAGTATCATAATGGACAGCTGGTAATAAGATCCCAAATGGCTAGTTGGTTTATTAGTTGTTAGAAGGGCCATTGCTCAATGTTGGTACTGAAAATATGAGGTCTTGGGAGGGATGAACTGGATAAAGACCTAACCTTTGGGTATGTCCATTTTCCTTTGAACCAAGAAGGTTATTACAAAAACTGTGGGTTGTCATTTCAACATTTATTGACTTAATGTCTATTTATTTTATTCATGTTTATCAGACCTAAGTGATGCCTAGTTGTTTCCTGGGCAACAACTTGCCTTTCCAGGCCAAAACGCCCATGCATTGCCTAGCCACCTACTAAAAATGGTTCAGATTTGTTACCTGCTTGTTTAATGCATCCAAAGTTTCCTCGTTGAGGTCGTTACTAGCAGTAATGGTCATATTTCCAAAACCAGGCATTCCGAATTCCTTTTCAATTGCACGGAAGAACTTCCTAGCCTCAATAGACAAATATGCAAGGTCACCAGAGTCCAACCTAATGCCAACTGCTTTGTACCTGTACAAAAAAATAAATAATAATAATAATAATAATAATAATAATAAATAATAATAATAAATAATAATAATAATAATAAATAATAATAATAAATAATAATAATAATAATAATAAAATATTTACTTGCTATTTGATAAAGTTAAAATAATTGCATGAATACTCGTAAGCTATAGAGAAAAATCTAAAAAATAAAAATCTTAATTCCTCTTCTCAATACCATCCAAAAAAGGAACTTTTCTTGTTCTCAATAGTCAATACCACCACAAGTGATCAGCCAGAAGTGTGGGAGTTAGAAAAGTTTCTTTCTTGGATGGTATTGAGAAGAGGAATTAAAAATGTTCCTTTTATAAGGCTATGGATGTGTGGGACTGCCTTTTAATTTTAGAGGTAAAAGTATAAGCTAGAAAATGATATCAATCATTATGTTCTAGATGATGTAGGACAGAGTGCATGGTGAACAGGTAATACCAATTGTTGTAAGATTTAGCACCCAGATTAGGTAACTAAATGATAACCACTTCTTAGGTTTATAGTTAGGACTTTTGAGGATGCTGTTTGGTCTACAAAAGGTTTAAGGATGACGATTAGGGTGAACAGTAGAGAGTGATTAAATCTAGAAGTTTTTTTATAAAATTAACAGGATTTGTATAAAAGAAACATGAAAGAAAACCTGGACAGCCCAAAAAAGGCAGCAGGTGCAGTACAAAGAAACAGCACAGAGCTCACAATACATAACCACTAACAACAATTCCAGTTACAATAGGGCCCCTGGACCTGGCATCCCCCAATCGCACCCTTGACTAATTACTATTGCCCTGGATAAGCTATCAGCAAGGAAATTGGCTGATCTGGCAACACCTGAACAAGCAATTCAGGCTTCTACCCAACAAAGAGGCTTCCCTAACCAAAAATCTGAATCTCCAGGGAGGGTCCTCTGAAATGAGCCAAATAATAACCACATTACAGTCTCCTTCGATGAGCACATCCTTCCAATTCTGTAAAGCTAGCAACTTGAGTCCTTTGATTAGGGCAGTCAACTCTGCTGTCAATGAATTACCATACCCAATAGTAGCGGTGGCAATTGGGCGGGTTGGGTTGGGTTTGGTTTGGGTTGAGCTTCAACCCAACCCATCTAACCCGCCAACCCATTAATGACCCAGTTATATAAAATTAAGTGGGTTGGGTTCAACCCAAACCCGCTTTAACCCAATTCAACCAGCCCAAACCCATTAATCTTATACTTATGGACTTAAAAAACAAACTAACTCTCTCTTAACAAATAAGTTGGTCATAGCTTGGTGGTAATTGTAGTTACTACACAAGTGAAGGTTCAAATCACATTACATGCATGTTATTTTTACACAAGCGGTGAAGCCATTTGACTATGTTTGGATTTTGGGTTTGACCGAACCACTTAGGTTCAAACCGGTCAGACCAACTTGAACTATCTAATTGGATTATCTTCGAGCTAATCACATCAAGGGTGGTTGAACCACTTAGATCTGGATCAGTACGGTCGGACCGGACCAGACCGACCATATCAGGTTTGTGCACGGGTTTGGGACCAAACCAACTAGCCCGAAGTGAGTCGACGTAAGTAAATCGGGTCGTCCGGATTCGGGTCAGGTTGGGTGGATATTGGCCGGGCGGACGGTCCAGACCGGGCAAAGCACACGGACACTGAACCATCCCACCCGAAACCGTTTCGGATTCGGGTTAACCCGGATTGGCTTGTACCGGGTTGGGTAGGGCTGTGTGAATACTGGTTGGACCGGATGACCCAAGCCAGGTAGAGCAAGCAGTACCAAACCATCCCGCCCGGGGTCCATTTCAGATTCGGGTCACCCCAGATCAGTATATGCTGGATCGAGTCAAACCGCGTTGAACTGGTCCAAACTTGGGTCAAATTTATTTGGATTTATGTTGGGTGAAGCGTATTGATTCAAGACAAAACTAAATTTAGTCAATAATTAATAGAAAATTAATGCATTAATTATACTTATGTCTGTAATGGTTAACCCAATGGTTATCCACAACCTAACCCATTTAAATGGGCGGGTTGGGTGATGGGTTGATCACACAACCCGCTAAGTAAATGAGCGGGTTGGGTGGGTTAGATACTGGGTGGGTTCAGCGGGTTGGGTGAAAAATTGCCACCCCTACCCAATAGCACCTGAAAAACTTAATCCAATGTTGCACAGTATCAAATAGCACCCGAGAAATTTAATATAACATTTCCAAACTCATCCCTTACCACACCTCCCACACCAGACTCTCCTGGGTTGCCTAAGGAGCATCCGTCAAAATTGAATTTGAGCCTGCCCAGCTTCAAGAGGTTGCCAAGTGAGCATTCTTTGTGGTCTAGAAATAGAAAAATTGGCTATTATATGCCAACCTCTAAGAATATCATCCATGCCTACCCCACGGATTTCTTCGCATACCAATACCCAATAGGCAACTTTAATTTCAATTAACTCAATAAGGGTTTCCACTATCAGTTCTTTGTTTTCCAACAAATCCAAGATACTTTGTGGAGTATTCCACCTCTTCCAAACAGAGAGAAATGATTCCAGACCTTACAAGAGAAAGGGCAAGAGAGAATAAGAATATGAGATGTCACAGATTCATCCGATTCTCTCTCAAGTAAACCTTTCCTAAACCTGAAGTTCCAGGAAATGTTTCCTTGTGCAGAAAATATCACATCAGAGACTGTTCTTGTGAAATCTCAACAAATTGCAAATTTGTCTGATCAGGTACCTAGGACCATCTAGGGTTTTATGAGAATCACTCAACAGAACAATAAGCATAAGAATTCAATTAAAACATCAATCAACTGATTGCCAAAAATGTGGAAGAGATGCACACACAAAAGCACAAACCTATACATGCATACATCAATATAATTTAAGAATAAGCTATGACTAGAAAAAACAGACTACTAGGCCATGTCCTACAGAAAACAGTCCAAAATACCCTTCATTGACACAATCATCTGAGCTCTAATCCAAGAGCCATCTTGACTGTCCTTTACTCAATCAAATTCCTAGGTTGCTAATTCTCCTGTTGACAATTTGGCTACGAGTATTGTTGAGAGAAGAAAGTTGTATTTAGATTAGAGCTTTGATTTGTTGGTTATTTATTTACGTTACTTCATTCTTTGCATGATTGCATAAGGTTAATTTTATCTGAGAGGGGGAGTCTTCTTGGGTTACCCATCCCATTTAAAGATAATGTTCATTTATGAAGCAGTGCAAGCTTAGATGAATGATTTGATATTTAAAAGAAAAGAATTGACTAAAACTAACAATACAGAAGAAACTATCTGTCAAAGCAAATCTTCACACCAACATTTAGGAGAGGGATTTTATTGATAAAAATTATTTTTTATGAATGTTTAAACATTCCAAACATACCCCAAATCAGAAAGTGCTAAAGCAACTGCACAGAAATTAGGAACACCGCTCTTCATAACCTGACAAGAAGGATTCCAACAGAACCATTATCAAACATGAAAATGAGATGCAGCTAGATCAAACATGCAAGTTCAAGTTGTAAAATGTGAAATAACTAATACCATTATGATGGTAAGAAATAACAGATATTGCCTTCTAAAAAAAATCTATAGTGCTTGAAATGATAACAAACAACATACTAATTGGTGAACACAAGCATCATTGTGATACTGTTGACCACATAATAACAATAATTAACTTTGTGGACCATACTGGGGGTATTAAACGAAGTAAGGATCAATATTGGTTTATATAGAGTACTAGTAATTAAGCACATGCGTTGCATGTGAGATATTTTTCTTCATATTAATTACTTGAATTTTAAAGATAGAAATTGAAAATTAACAAAAGTAACAATATGATTAAAAATAAATTTAAATGCTTGTAGTAATGTGTGTGTGCATTGCACTGCACATGGAAATTTTAAATTACAATAACAATTATTATTATTATTATTATTATTATTATCATTATTATTATCATTATTATTAAATTTTGTATTCCATTTGTCATAAATAAAAATAATCTTTATATTAACAATTATTTTATTTAATATGACCCATATATAACATTAGAAATATTCTCAAATATTTTTTACAAAATTCTGTACTTTTTCATTTTTTGTGTTTTATCTTTTTCTAAATATTTATTATTCAATTATGACATCATGATTTTCCTTTAAAAGTATCATATCATCGATTGATTCATTTGACCCAAACACTAACTACCACCCAAAAAAGAAAGTTTGATTTCTAGGATTACATTAAAGTTTGTATTACATTTTCACCATTGATAAAATTATTTCTTATTTTTGAATTTCTATATTTATTTTGCATTTTATCTATTTTTGAATTTTACTATTTAATTGTGGAAACATGGATTGGCCCATTTGACACAAAATGGTTTAATTTCTTACCACCACCTAGATGAAACCACTATTTTTTTAGGTATATTTTAAAAGTATAAGTTTTTGTGTTATTGAAATTATTAATTTATTATGTATGGATTTAATTAATAGAATTTAATAATGACAAGAAACAAAAATGCCTTAAATATATGATTCAATGAAGGTAAATACAAGTTAATAACTTAAATGTTGGATTTAATGAGAGAGAATTCAATGCATTGAATATTTTAATATTACCTTTTTCGACTCATTTAATATCAATAACCGGTTACCTTATTTGCCCTCTAGTTTTATCAATAAATTTAAATATAGAGGGGTAACATCTATAATCATTGTCATAAATATTACTTTTAATAAAAAATGGCATTTTAGATAACACCAAAATAATTCACACCAGTTTTATGAAAAAATTATACAGGATGGGGCTTCAAACGGCTACAAAGATAAGGCTGATGCTATGGCATAAATGAAAGAATAATAGAGATTGATTATGGTAGACTAAAGATTAAAAATAACAGAATGACAAGTTAATAACATAAGCAGATTCTTCGTATTCTGAAACAAGTTGGCTTACATCATATGTGTCCACAAGGGCTAAAAAGTTGTGGGGGAATGCCAATGCATACGAGGTAAAAGCTGCCAATTCACTTTGATTGGTCTCACCAAAAACACCACGCAATGAATCTGCCCACTGAAGATCATGTGCAGACAGATCCCATGAAAAGTCAAATGGTGAACTAAGAACAAAAGAAGACAGATAAACAGCAACATTACAACATATTCTCAATAGACAACCATTATCCATGTTCACAAATGGTTCAAATACAACGCACAGAAAAGAGAGGAGAAAAACAGAAAGTAATTCTGAATCTTTTTCAACAAAAGCATGGAGTTTCAGTTTGTGCCATTAAGCTAAAACAGATAGTCTTGGCTTTAAAGGCCAAAGCAACATATCATGAGTTGCATGTTTGAAACCCTGGTTTAGCTAAGATTCCCATATATGGATACTGGCATGGACTATGAGATGCGAAAGTAGCTTTCTATCCTAGATGTTGATGTTGTATTAAGAGTTCAAACTTGACATTATACCCAGAAGTCAAGAAAAATGTAGCAGCAAAACAGTAGAGAAAATAGGTGAAGCAAGGAGAAGTATGGTTGATTGAGAAGAGTAGTTCTCCTCCAGTCAGCCATTATCTATGGATTAAGTACAAAGACCCTTGTGCCCCTATTAAGTATGGGACACATAAATTAGGATAAAACAGTCCAGTTACATAGAATTAAATAGGGTAAAAGACTAAAATACCCTCACTAAGTTGGTACTAACAGATATTCTTTAAGCTACACTTGTATCTAGTTAAACTCAATGCAACTTCTAATGCTTGACTAGTTTCTTATAGTAAAATTTGTTGAAGCATACCAATTATCTACTTGTGTGAGAAAACAGAAACTTTGATTATAGGAGTTAAGAAAAACACACAAATACAATAAACTTATAACCTAGAAGTAACATGCAGCATCCAGCATTGCCATGTTTGTAATCATATCAGTGTCTTATAGTGTGACCAATTCAAATAGGTATGCAATGTTCAGGTATCCAAATATTATTACAGCTCAGAATAGAGTCCACACTGTTTATATTGGTACTGCCAATATGATACCATTTCCTATTACTCACTACATCCATACCTAACTCTGATTTTAACTTCTAAACCGTAGGCATTTTCTCTCTGTGGTGTTCCTCTTCTTACTCTGACTAGTTTACGTTGATTGAAGAATACATTCTTGTCTTGGATGGGTCATCTATTTGGTATTGAAGGTTAAATTACTTTGGAAGTCCATAGACCTGTCATTGGTTGGAGCCTTTGGAATTCATAAATTTCAATCAATGTCGCTGCCTTAGATATTGTACAATTGGAAAAAGCATCAGAACACATGGAAATGGAACCACTTCATAGTTTAGTCAAATATGTTGAATCTTTAAACAATGGTGCTAGCAAATTCCTATCAAATATTAGTATAACCTATTTAAAAGCTCAATCTTTGCTCTGCAACTACAAATCAGACACAATATTGTCAATATAGAAAAAAAAGACAATAATTCTGGTAATTTGGCAGGTTTTGCACAATTAATCGAATAATAGAGATGTAAGCCAGTAATTGTAATTATCTTAAAGCAAAGGAAACCGCATGGCATCAATGTAGTAGAATGTAACAACTTAGCAAGATGCAAGTCTACTCAGTTGTTTCTAACTACAAATATAAGAAAACATCAACAAAGACTAAACTTAGTTAAAATGGACAAGAAAGAACTATATAGAAATCCTTTCAACAAAAAAACAACCTGAATTTTTCTTAGCCAGGTCTGCACCAGACTAACAAAATCTTCACAGGTACCTGTGCCATCACTACTACGAAGTGATTTGTCAATAATCTCATCAGGACTCTGCACATCAGTTGATAAGTGAGAACAAGGAAAAACAACTTACACAAGAAAATACAGACAGGTTACTGCAAGTATAAAATTGCGATAAAATGATTTACATAATATAATGATGAATAGAAGTTGCCATGTTGAATCATAGGCACTGATAAGCACATAAAGTAAACAGTTAACGACGTCAGTGTGTCCCAAATGTAAAGTTGAAAAAGTAACAAATATCAACAAGGAGAAATTTATCATTCACAAGAAAGAGGCAAAAAAAAAATTACAACCAATAGAAGAAAGAAGCAGCCTCCACCCCTAGGCTGACCCACCCACCAGCCACCCAAATAAACCCATGGCTAGCTCAGACAAACCAATCCCCACTGTATCTCCTTTATCTATACTTGTTGAACTAAGGAATCAGCAACGACATTGGCTGATTTGGAACCAACTAGAACAGGATGTTCCTGTTGAGACACAAATAAAGGGAATACAAGTGTACAAGAAAAGGCCACACCAGCCTTTAAAGAATGTAACTAACAGCCAACCACTAGAACAAACTAGACAAGTGGAGAGGCTGGTATAACAGAATTGTAACAGCAGTATATAAATAAGGAAAGGAGGTTAGGAGGGGACTATCAATTTGGGAATACAATCTCTCTCTCTCTCTCATTCAGGAGGCAGGCTCCCTCGAAAGAGTCCCAGAGTTAGGCAGTCCCTAACAGTTCCCTTTAGAAGCTAAACACCTATCCTCTCTAGCATGACAAAAGTGCAAGGCCTTCTATGTATGTTTCTAATCCACCCAGTCAAAACTTGACAGCTCTGGACATATAAAGTATCCATTGCTTGCATATATATGCAGCATACCCTCCCATATGATACATCCAATGCCATGGGTCCTGGGTCAGTATCCATTGCTTGCATATATATGCAGCATACCCTCCCATCTGCAGATCCAATCATTCTATTACACAAATTTTTTCACATGATAAAATAATCTCAAAGATGGCATCGGATCAAATTTGAGGATAACTTATTTCCCAACTAAAGAAAATGATCAAAATAAAAGGCCCTTCAGACCAAGTCATCAGGATTGAATATCTATTAGCACTTAAAAATGAAGATCAGGCCAAGAAAATGTATCCAATGTCTTTTTTGTAATCACAACATTGATATTACTTTATAAAATCCTGTCCACAAAAAATGTTGGTTAAACAAGAAAATCCAAGGTCGACAATATTGTTGGATCCGGCAATCCTTTTTCAGGGTAGTAGGGAGCTATCATTTCATCTTTAATAAAATCCTGTTGTTGTTGTTTATCAAAAGAAAAAAAAAAAAAAAAAAAAAAAAAAAAAAAAAACCACAATATTGATACAATGACAACAATGCAAACAACCTTAAATGCTGTCCTAGTAACAATATAACTACCAACCATGAATGAGCTAACAAAAGCATGAGAATGTGTTCCACGAAGTGGTATCCCAAAAAGCCTCCCAGCTGCAACATTGCTGTCAATACAAGATGCAAACATGGACATGAGAAGCATGCTAAAAGTTACTAAAATCAACTAGGATATAAGAAGGTAAAAAAAATGCAAGAAACATAGCTAGGTTATACTTAAAATGACCATCAGAGCAAGGTATAAAAAGAAACTAACAATACTTAAGAAAAATTGTGAACCTAAATAAAATTCTCAATTGAATTTGTGGCCAAAGAGGCAAATCCAAGTAAAACTCACAAAATTGAAAACACAGTTGTCAATGCATTTAGTCAATTCTGGGAGACTGGAGCACCTAGTCACCTAGTCGCCTAGGTAGGTGCCTAATCATGGTTGCCCAAGGTATGTTCCCCTTCTTGTCACTTCTCTATTCCATCCTCCGGTTTTGTTTCTACTCAAGCTAATGCTGGCCAGTGGCCCCTCCGCTACTGTCTTTGCAGACCCAGCTATCTGTGTCTACTTGATATGAACTCTTACCCATAGGTGTGGTAAAGGGAGAAAGAGAAGTGAGGAGATCATGGATTTGGTATTCAGACACTTAGCAGGTTTAGTTGAATTGGAGAAGAGTGAGAAAAGGTTAGAAATGCAGAGGACAACCTTAGAACCAACAGAGAAAGAGGACAACAATGACTTGAATAAGGAGAAGGGAGAAAAAAAATATAATGAGCAAACAAAGAAGAAGGAGAAGAAACCCAAGATATCAAAAGGAGAATCTGCCAAGACGAAGGTCTATCATAGGAAGGAAGAGGAAGGAAATAAAAAGAGAGAGAGAGAGAGAGAGGAATGAGGGAGATTGAAAAACTAGATTGTGAGGTTTCGTATGAAAAGTGTGAGAGCCAGAAGAGGGAGAAAAAGAGGGAAAATCAGTAGATTGGGGAAAGGAATCCTAGGGCCTCATAACTGTCAAGACAGCACATTGGATAAAGACCATGGACTCTTTCCATGAGTTCTCAACCAATGACACTTTTTAAGGGCTTGGACTGCCGTGGCGCAATCAGATAGATTTGTAGAAAAGTGCAGATGGATTGGAGACCACCAGCTGGGAATAGCATGAAACTGAATTTTGATGGCAGCTCGATTAGCAACCCAAGAAGAGCAGGCATAGGGGTGTATTCAGAAATAACCATGGAGAGGTAGTGGCCCTGTATTCGGGTCATGGCTTTGGAGATTCAGTTCAAGCTGAAACATGGGCTCTGCCACAAGGAATGAGACTTGCTGCACAAGTTGAAATCAGGGAACTGGAAATTGAAGGAGACTCACAATTAGTAATTGCTTGGACAAAGAGAATCAATTCAGCCCCTTGGAAATACAAACAAGCATTTAGGGAGAGCAAAAAGATCCAATGTGACTTGTTAACAGCTGTTATTTTTCCTATGTATAGTACCGCAGGGGTACTATTGTACTTTTACTCTTTTTTATTTTAGTTGCTGTCGCCCTAGTATATA